ACATCACATATCCTTCTTTTTCACTACTTCACTACTCCCACAGGATCCTCGATGCTCCCAATGCCGACTGACCGACTCTTTCGGCTCCATTTTCGTGCCAAGCCGGTCCACGATTCCCCGACCAAGGCAGACAGAGAGCATTCGGAAATGTTCGTTCCGTTAAAGAAAAATTGTACAGCCATCAGATGCAGTAGCATGCCGCTTTCTCCGGTTTTTGTATCTTCATACTCGACACGCGCTACGGCACGGCCAGCCATACACCTCTCTTCTGCCAAACACCCTCCTCGTTCGACTTGTGGTTGTTCTCTACCGCTTAGTACGTGTTTCACTACGGGACATTGCTATCTACGCAAATGCTGCACCGCGAGGGGAGCGCGGGCAACTATGAAGACTCGGATGTTACTACTGCAGCTTCAATCCGGTGCACTTTCGGCAGTAAACAGTGGTGCGCTACTGCAGCTACGGACCCATTCGCCTCGTTCGGAAGGACCATTCTAGAACGGGGCATTGGGGACCGAGCCATCGATGCCGCAGAGATGGTGTAGAAGCTGATCGTTTCCACATAAGCGTCTTTTCCTTCAACCTGATGGACGATATTCTAGCGAAAATTTGTAGTGTCGTCCCTTGTTCAAATCGTTCATGTCAATAATAATGTCGCATGGTGAAGTCCTGGCTGTGATGTTGCTTTGAAACTCACGAAAAAATCTTATGCAGTGGTTTCAGATTACTAGTTGGTCTACCAAGATTGTTACGTTATTACGCCAACGGGCACTGTTCGGTTTGGAAAGGCATTCTGCCCTTACACTAGTTTCTTTGCTTAGTTCATATTAACTAGCAGGCCGCTTTTTGGTCTGACCTGTGAACTTCTGTGACGCTGCGAAATTGTTCTAGCTACTTTAGTCACGGGAACTTAGAGATCTTCACAAGGTGGCCTGTGCATGCCTAGCTAAGCGCCATTCGGTGACCCACGAAGCCGAACTGCCCCGCCCACTTTCGGCTTCTTTGCTTTCGTCAGAGCCTGAAAGAGTACGAAAAGAGTGAGATCTGTCCTCACGAACGCTGAAAGCGACCTGGAGATTCTGGTTAAAGGCAGTTGGCACGACAAGTCCCTAAAACGAATACCCTAATAAGGGCCCTGTCAAGCTACACATACTGACCCCAACGCGCACCAAGCCCCCCCCCCCTAGCCCATAAATGGACGACAAGTCCCTAAAACGAATACCCTAATTAGGGCCCTGTCAAGCTACACATACTGACCCGAACGCGCACCAAGCGTTGCTGCATGGGTATATGGGTACACACATGCACCCCGTATCTACCGTAATGGTTGTTGGTATATTTGGATGCATACTGGAAACTCGTCCAAAATTGCCTTTCGAATCATTAGGAACCAAGGCTTTTCTTCGCAAGTTTGTGAATGTTCCAATTCTGCCCTGCTAGCATTTCAGGCCAAGTACCAAATTATCGTGCCAAATGCCTTTAACCACTTGACGGTATCAATCGGTAAAAATGACTCGGCTCACTTTGATTTCATCAGCGATTTTTGTGTAGGAGCCGCGTTGCCCAGCTGCTGTGTTAAAGGAGTTGAAAACTGTCAGACCTGATAACCATCGCATCACGAACTGCCACGAGGAAAAGCAGTTATCAAAACAAAACAACGAGCCAAGAGCTTTTTTCTTGCCCATCAATGTGAGACAATTGGAGCCGAATTCTTGGCAGATGCTGCAGATTCCCTTCCTATCTCGCTTCCAACCAGCAGTGCTTTTCCTATCACCAGGGTTCTTCTTTATTGTTTCGCTACGTGTCTCCACAATTGGGCGTTGATTGCATAGTCCAGATCTACAGTCGGGAATCAATCCAAGAGTTTGAGAAGATAGTTGTTTCTTGGTAACTGTGGGAATTTCAGCCATTTGACGCTCTCATAAACCAAACAAGACGTTTTTATTCGTCGTTGATTTGGTCGATCGAGCGGAATCTTCCCACGGGCCAACGAAAGAAGCAAAGTGGTTCTGAAGGATGACATTTCTCGTGGATTGCTGCTTGGTCTTCCCGATTTCCTCTTCTCGCCTCTCGTTGAAGATGTGTAGTCGAAGTCGTCATCGAATTCTTCACCAAAAGACTGCCATGCCCGCCGAGGGAGTACAGTAAGGTTCTTTGACACTGCAGGAATACGACAGGAAGATGTTCTGCGATCGAAGCTGACCGGACAACCTTGCTCGCGTCCACTTTAGTTCTCTTCCGATGTGCAGGCTCATCTTCATCTGTTCCTCTCGATATTAAATCCGTTGGCAAGCTGGTAGAGCTGTAAGAGAGATTACGGCGTGACTCCCTAGAAGACAGTCCGCGCACGGGCGGCTCCTGCCCTTTGGGCGCAGAAAGATATTTTTGTGGCGCACCAGAGTCGTGACTAAGAGACATGTCTTGTCACCCTTTTTCGCGGGTGTGCCTTTGATGTCACCAGTGAAGTGGGACCTAGATGAGGCGGGTTACGGGTGGGCCCCTATCCCTGGGTAGTGAGATGGCGGAGGCCTCGTGGACGCCGTCCTTTTTTAGTTCCTGCCGGGACCCGCAACCAGGAATCTGCAGAAGTTGGCGGTGGTCGCTCTCTGATCATGCGGGAGTTGTTGTCGGTTTCTACCCGTCCCGATGATTTCCGGTTTGATGCTGTTCTTCTTCACAGTATTCAAGGACCCCGGGAGAGCGGAGTTTAATTGGAAGCATGAGTAGGTGGGAGGGTTGGTAGTGAGCGTTGTGATGGTGGGTTCTGAAAGTAAGCGCGTCCCGGAGAAACTGCGTTCAAGAAGGCCTCGTCAGGTTCTCATAAGGTTGAGGGGGTGTGTACGCAGCCAGTGGGTTGGTACGTGTTTTGCACTTTTTCTTGACTGGGGAGGTGGATGATTCTCACACTAGCTATAGATGTGTGTAGTTGTAGGGCCAGCTGGAAGTTCTTAGGCGGGCTAGCGTTGGCCCCCTATGTAGAGTAGGGATACGTATGGGTGTTCCCAAGCGGGAACCCCCTCCAGATCTCCCAAGCTGAGATGACCGATGCGCGCAAGCATCATTCTTCATGTCGGTTGCCTAAAGTTAGTGCACAGGAGTAAAGTGTTGGTCAGTGGCTGGGAGCTGGGTCGACGCTTTTTGTGTTCGGAGCGGATGAAAGATACCACATTTCAGTCGAGCTACTAAGCGCTCTTCAGTAGAAGGGCAAATGTCCTCTGCTGTCTGCGTATACAGGGGGGAGGTGCAAGAAACAGCATGTTCGGTCCCAACTCATATACCAGTAAATTTTCGCAGCCCATACAGAAGGACGTGGGGAGTACGGGGGTATGTCGTAGGTGCCGAGTGAGCCGAGATGATGTGCCTCGATAAGCAAGGAGAGGAACTTCCTCATCACCTTCAAGTAGACCAAAATATGAAGTTGATGAGTGCTTTATGCGGGGGCCGGTAGGGTAATCGCCGGCAGAACTGGAGATTAGGCAATTCAGCGTCACCGATGAGAATGCCAAGTCCAGACAGCTGCGAAGACTGTCTTGAAATATGGAGTGCATACCATAGGCGTATCAGCCTACATGGAGACCGGGCACTCTTGATCTGGGAGACCATCCAACCCAGCAGGCGCGGGTTTGATGGTGATCTGGAGTTCCGGCAATGGGGACCAAATATGGTCTCGTGTATACCGGTTTACTGAAGGAAACGCTCAGCGGTTACATCGGCCAACGTCGAAGGAGAATATCCTGCCTTCATCTAGTCGCCAGTACTATCTTCGGAAACACTTCGTACTGCTACAGCTACAGGATTGGGTGCCACCACATGAAATCGAAGGGCGTTGGAAAAACTCTCGCCTACTCAGAATGTAAGGGCGTTGAGGACCTGATAAAGGCGGAATATCCAAGAGCGCCACCTGCGCCTAAGCCCCTCGATTAAAGTGGGTCCGTGGGTGGGTGAAAGTCAAATAGGGTGGCTTTACAGCGCGTAGAAATCAAACTATTTTCGCTGGAAACGAGCCCTGATTCACGGGCGCCGTGGGCTACAGAATTTCTCGATGGGCCGCTCGTGAGCGCGAGAGGCTGTGGCTGAAGTATATGATAGTGTATCATGTGCTGTTGAATATGGTGGTGGAAATGTTCCGATCGGAATTTATAAAGTGTAACTTAATTTATCGCGTTCGATGAGGAGAAAAAGTGCCATTTTGCTGTCCCGCCCCCCGCTCCGCTGCCCTGTATCGCCAAAAATTTAAGTCGCCTGATGAAGGACCCAAGCTAAATCCCCGCAGAGTGTCAGTGGATTAGCTCGTAAGACTCAACGATTTCAGTCCGACGGTAGAAGTTGGTATTTGTGAAGTCTTTCCCTGCGACGCATGGATGTTGTCGAGGGGGTGGGGAGGGGGGGGGGGGGAGGGGGTGCAGAGACCGCTCCATTCTCCATCAACTGTTGAAGCGGGCAACGAAAAGAAAAGGTGGGAAACGAGATGGCGCAGCTCCACAAGCTCGAAGTCTCGTGACACGAGCGCCTTAGCGCCTGCAGCGAAAGCGGTCAGAGCGATAGGGAACGAATTTGAAAGGGAAAGTTTGTTTTTGAAGCACTTTGGTTTTGGGACATTTTTACCATATTACATGATATTATATTATTATTATTATTATTATTATTATTATTATTATTATTATTATTATTATTATTATTATTATTATTATTATTATTATTATTATTATTATTATTATTATTATTATTATTATTATTATTATTATTATTATTATATTATTATTATTATTATTATTATTATTATTATTATTATTATTATTATTATTATTATTACTCCGCTCTTGCTATGATTTTTTTATCGAAATTTGTTTTAGGAGGAGGTTTGACGATGAGATGATAACTACTCTTCTTGACTGACTTAATCTCGTGATTCGGCTATTTAATTCTCCATGTGTTCGCTCCCGTTCTCCTGTTGATCGACCAATACTGTCCTTTCTAATTAATCGACTTCCAGATCCATCATGGCTATGTATGATATGAAAGAGTTACCACACTTGGTGAAACCTGTTACTTTGGTGAGTTTTTACTTTGGGAGCACTTAAGGTCATCTTATTCGAGTATCGAACTAGGGTGGCGCAGGTGCCAACAAAAATAAGTATTATATTGGTGATGAAATAATAGGCTTATTCAATGGATGAACGAATATTCGAAGGCAATAAATCGCTGAAATGCTCTAAAGGCATATTCCGCAATAACGCAGTGGGTGGAGACAGAAAGTCATTGCCTAGTGCTCATAATGCGTTTCCACCTCTAAGGCTGGAAAGAGACAAGGTTGGGGGCCCCGTAGGCGCGATGCCTGTCTTCAACGCCCCATGATTAACAAGGTTTCATGAAAGACAAGCTGTATGCTTACCTGTGAGGCGATTCTGTGCCATGTGCGAGGTGAAGTGAAAAGGACGCATCTGTAGAAAATACCACTCCCGTCTTCCGAAAGGGAGCAATCGAATGAGGATGGAAGGAGCGTAGCAAGTACGGATAGGCCGTCGGGTCTCCCTACGTGCCAACATGAAGCGGTGTGAGTGGTTGCCAACGACAGCATGTGCACCGGGAGGTGTTTTATGCGCATAAAGTGTGGTGAACTACAGCTCCCCAGCCAAACGAGAGAGGCGCAGAGAAATACGCGATTTTCCTGGCTAGGCATATATCTGGTAGTGCTTCGTGTTGCGTGTCTGCGTTGTTTGCGCTGGGGGTGAGGCGCCCACGCGATCGGCACCCGCTTTCACTTACTTCACTCTCCATTTCCGGCGCACTTTAGAGAGGCCGAGGTGGGGGCACACCGCTTCTAACCGCTGGCGAGCCCCCAGTAACTCATCAATAGTATGGAGGGGGGGGGGGGTTTATTGGAGAATGAGTGGGTACAGCGTTTTACTTTGACGTTCATAGCCCGAATTTCACTTCAGCCTTGGTTTTTTGGGTATTTAAACAAAAAACCTGGGAAATATTTTCCGGGTCGAAAGCATGAATGAATTCTTCGGGGCAAGGGATACAACGTCTTGCTGTTCTGGGACTTTTAATGTTTTCCTGAGCTGACTTCAACTTTAACATTCCTTTGCTTTGGGTATGGTAAATCATTTTGAGAAGGGGCAGTTTGGCACGAAAATGGGATTGGGTGGGGGTTGAAGCCCTAAAATGCTTTTCTAATGGGCGATATTAACAAAAGGGCGGGAAAGTGGCGAAAGAACGGGAAGTGAAACGGTCAAGATCTGCAAAGATAAAGGCTGCCATTTTCACTGTGGATAGTAAATGCAATTTTGGGGAACGAGTTTCCGTGGCATCTAGCAATCACTACTATCGCGAAGGTACGGCTTGGCAAATCTGGTACTCATATATCATGCCGCATCAGGGCGCCGGCTTATCATTACACAATACCTTGTGGCTTCATATTTGCTCAGCAAATGAATCGATTAGAGGCGCAGGATGGGGGGCGGCGCGTCCAAAGTAGGGCGGGCGGGCGAGGAAGGCGTCTTGGACGTAAGTTGTTGCTGTCTAAATAGAGCGTTATAGGGGTATCCTCCTGTGGGAAAGAACGGTCGGCGGGAGCCCACGGTGGTCCAGGTCACAGAAAATTCAGTTTAAGCCAAGTCGTTAAAAAAATCCCCCCTTTTTTGTTATTCGGCGATTTATCGTGGCAACTGCCTTTATCTGCTCCATACAATTATTCAGATACTCATCATATTGCAAACTATTTTCGTATTCGCACCTGGTTATCGATCGTTTGGATGGTTCGTCATTATGACCACAATTATAGAGGTAATGTACCAATCATTCAGTCATAATTTGAGTAAATGTTTGAGAATTTTACCCGAGAGACACATCTCACGTCGGGGAATAAGTTACCAAACTTTTTTACCTGCTTGTTTTGCAGCAGTTTATTATTATGATGGGGCCAACCATAGCATGCAAATTGAAAGGTACAGTGTGGTGCACTAACTCCTCAGAACTGACCACAAGTACAGGGGGGGGGCGGAAAGACACTTTTTTCCTCGACTTCCCACTCCCGATGTAGGGCAGTATACGCCTTGCAGCGCGCAAGCTGGAAACCGCACCGCAACGCCGCGCCGCTCGTGGACGAATGTGTTCGATTTCTGCTGGTTACTGTAAAACAGTAATCAATGTGTGAGCACAGTTAACAGGGGGAGGACAAGAAAAAGATCGATATATTGATCGCAATAATTTTACCATTCTTTCAGTTGATCGTATGTGTGTTGGTTTTCGCATGCATAGGATTTAACATCACTGGACTACTGAACATGCCTATGTGGCCAATGGCGGTTAGAACTTTTTAACAATCGTGATCGATTATCGAACAGTTGAAACAGACCAATCACTAGTCAATTATCGATTCCAGGAGATGACTTACAGTGGTGTATTCGTTATTTTTCAAGTGATCAACTTCTTCTACTTTATTGTCAACATGTTCAAACATTTCAATGTTTTCTTCCTCTTCGGCATGGTACGGTTAGATAACAGTAATTATTACAGTACTCAGTTACAATATACCTTACAACCACTCGACGATGTTGTGCTCAAGGGCAGAGGGCACGATGGCCGTGGCGGCCGGTTGCTACCTACGTCATTGGTGGAAGTGCGGAGCGGGGAGTGTCCGAATGTCCACCCGCATCCCCTACCACTGACACTGGCAGCAACCGGCCGCCCCTAGCCTCGTTCCCACGGCCCTCAACAAAGCATCAGACTCTTTTGAAGGCTATCTTCTGGAGGCTCTTGAAAAATCGATACCGATCACCGAAAGCTAATCGATATTTCCAGGCGGAGGCTGCTTTCCTGGCTCTAGTGTGGCTTTTCGACGCCTATCAATGGTGGCGAGCACGCACGCCAGCCGCCGCCGCTACCACCGGAAATCAAGCCACAGCAGCTCCTCCCCCGAATTTTCCGCCAAACTATCCAGCCGGCGTCAATCCGGCTTGAGAATCGATCGATAATCGAATCGCTCAATAGCTGTGATCGTCATCTTTTGGATCTTTCCTTTACGTTCTGTTCCTTTTTCACACCATTTTCTATTGTATGTACATTAATCGTTTTTATTAATTTCTATTCTGGGAAGACAACTCTGATAAAGTGACTTATGACAAATACAACTGATATGATGTGATCTGATCATTCAAGAAAGATTGTTCAAAGACAAATGGGAGACGGTGGGAAAAAGGGCAAGAGCTGGTGGGAAAGGACTGGCGCTGCGGCGAGTTCAACCCCTCGCCACCGCATTCGTAGACAGGGTACAACATGGGGATGTGCGAAATGTCGGTGTGAGTACGAACCCCCCCCCCTCCACCTCCACGGCTTTTTCGCCGACGACGAGCAATGAGTATATAGTCGGCGAAAAAGTTGTCGAGCGGGGGTATACAATAACTATGCAACGTATATCCCACGGGCGTACAGAATGCATATAGTGAAATACGACCCCCCACTTTTCCACAAGAAAAAATCAACTATCAAAATAAATTTGTCTTACAAATACGACCCCCCCCCTCCCCAGAGCAAAAGTACGACCCCCCCATGGGTTTGACACAACGATGCTGTACCCTGTTCGTAGAGAACAAGACTGATAGCAGCCGCCTATTCTGGCGACAAGATGTGATAACTGGTGATTACAGTAAACAAAAGTACAGAATAAGTGGTTATGAGTGCCAGTTACTAATGGCAATGAGCCCGCGTTTATAGTTCGCGACTCGAGCGATTCAGCCCCTTTGTGGATAGCGCGCTAACCGCCAGCTGTTGGGCCGCTACAGCGGTCGGAAGAATTCGAATTGCATAGGTTTTTATCGTGTCACCTTCTTTTCAGTGGAAAAGATCCGCCGTGGCCTTGTGCCTTATACTGATAACTCTGCGAGGTCCTTTCTCCCTGCTCCTGCCTACTGTCCCTCCTTCCTTCCCCACTCTCCCTCCCTTTCTCTTCAAAGCATGCGTTAGGTAAAGCGGGAGAAAGATCGCGGCTGACCATTATAAGTCTCTGGATAGCTATGTTCGCTAGAAAATTGAATCCAGATGGCTAAAAAGTATGGATGCAGAGTAGCCAAGAGCCGAGACAAAATGCAGAGATGTAGGAGGTTCAGTGGGCTTTCTTACCCCCCCCCCTTCCCCTCCCAAATAGCCGAGTGGGGTCATCGCACATTGCATCATTGCACGAATGAACCGTCGAACAACAGTGTGTTTAGGCGGTTTCAGTAATCCGACGATAGGCCTGCAGTGCGGTCGATCGCAGTCGAACGATTTCCAAACCGCGCGGCCGAATCGCTCGAGTTGCTAAGCGTGAACACAGCACAAGCGACTATGAGCGATCTCAATTAATCAAGGAACAGGTCAAGTGATAGGGAGACGATGAGCAACAGTCGACAACCTTGGAGAGCATCAAGGGCAATGGATAGAAGATATGCAGTAACTTGTAATAAATAGAGTTGCGAAATTATTGGCACTAAGGACAACAGCATTGACTGCAAGCGACATCAAGTAATAACATATGTTAAACGAAGGAAATCCCATGAGGATCCTGACCAGTACTGGCGCAAGAGAAGACGAGAAAACCCTCTCTTCTTCATTGATCAACGAAATGTATATACATTAGTTATCGGTTCAATGTATTGTGTTTAAATTTGCAAAAATAGATGCAGAAGCATAGGCAGGCAAGGAAAATCACTGCAGCATAGGTGAATCGTAAAACATCGCGAATACGATTGGCACTGATCTGGAACAAACCATTCAATAAGATTACACTTACTTACAATTATAACTATGTAATTACCAACACCCACATATATAATTTGCTTCGTCTGGTTGTTTGTTAGTTTGTATGTCTGTCTGTATGTCTGTCGGTTTGTCTGTCTGTGTGTTTATTTGTATATTTGGCTGTCCGAAAACCGGTCAATCTGAAGAACAACCCAAAGAGGTCGGGTCGATGTGGGTTGGGTAGGGCATTTGACAATGTAGAGCTGACCTATGCCAAGCTCCACCCTCAGTTTGAGGGGCATACGCCGAAAGTTGGTGGTGCTGCAGACAAAAATTCATAATTTGCTTCCAGAGGAGCCACGGTACCCAGAAGAAAAGAACAATAAAAGAAACAAGCTGGCGCCGCGCCTAACCCATCTCGCCTGGCACGGCCCGTTATCGCAGCGAAGAAGACTGATGCCCGGGTCCTAATGTAATCGATGCCGGTAGAGTTCCGAATGAAGTCCCTTAAGACCAAGCTTCCACTTCCCAGGCCGCTTCAGTTCAAAGCGATCGAGAAGTTCTCTCAATGATGCTGTTAACTGGCAGCACACCAGTTAACAGCATCATTGAAAGAACTCCTCAATCGCTGGGAACTGAAGGCTAAAAAGGGTACCAGTCAATTTTTGCAGAGACCTGTGGACTCTTGTGATGTAATGACCTCGGTATGGGCAGTCGAGAGTGCAAAATGCACTCCTTCTTTCCCCCGCCCTCAAACTGCCCATGATTACTTTATGGCTACCAGTTGCTTTGGTATTCCGGAGAGAGTGACCATTGACTGAATTTGGAGCTGTATCCTTGTGCTATTTACATTTTGGCGAAAAACAATATCGCCCATATGCAGATTTGCCCAAACAGCAATGAAATATTCAATATCGTATAGATGTAAAAAATGTGAAACTACAAAGAAATAGATTCCGTCATCGATCAGAAAAAAACCATACTCACATCTCCAGTCGACCTATTCCTTATCCGGATTTTAACAAAATGAAGCTTGTTTTGACAGCATGGGGTATAATGGTTCTTTTTTTTTATTTTTATGGGTTAATGAGACAGAAAGTGACCAGCCGAGACCGTTAATGAGGCATTATTTCAGAAAAAAAAACGAAAACTCACTTCAAGGGAGCTTTTGTCAGCATCCATCACAGCTGCCTGTATGGGTCTCTCACCTCAATCAACCAACACTGTTTTCGTCCCGATACAACACCCCGAAAACATCCACTGAAAAAAACGAATGCTGCCCTACAGGGTACTTCTTCAGTAGGCCTCAAAACAAGGTAAAACTAGAGGAAGTCTCGAAGAATTTGTAATGTATAAAGTGCAAAGTAATCAGTGCAAAATCAGCGAAGAACTAGAAACCAAGAAGTAGAAATAAAGAAAAACGTTGTTTCAACATTGAGTGGCACTCACAACGGCAACGACCACTTCACTTGCAATGACTACTTACTTTACCAATGATTGTTTCCTAGCGCTTATCGGACCTTGGTTCTTTTTGATAACCAAGTTTTGATATATCTGTGTGTCTGTCATGTTGAGGCGGAGGTGGTGTAGTGGCAAGTGGCATTCAGGGATCAAATCCTGGACAGGCTTCCGCTCAAGGCAACCACGACTTCCATCCTCCGGTGACGGTAAATTGGTAACAGATTAGTTTGGGAGGATGAGTGACTTGTACATCGGCTGGCCCTCGCAAGTCATTGTATGGGCCACATCGCATTTGACAAGCCACTACGACTCTGAATTGAAGTATTAGGTTGGCGGGAAAGTTCTGTCATACTTTTTTGAACCCAAGTATTCGCCTATTACCTGAAGAGGGCTAACCGGTAATGTGAGCATTATACATTAAGGATTGATCTTTCTATTAGTATCACTGGCTCGACTCCTGCTTCTCCTTATTCTGCAATATGGACAAGAATGTTATCCGCTACCTTCGGCACGACCCCTTCAAGCGCTTCCTTCAACTCTTTCTCTACCACCCTGG